GCTTTCTCATCCCATGTTTAATGTCATTTTTTAGTCATTCAGCATTGTTGATTGTTTATTAATTTTTATGATTAATATTATGCATGTAACTAAGATTGAATAACATATAACTACTTCAATTGTTTCAGGTATACTTAACACAGTACTGACACTGATAAAAGACACAGCTCTGCCAATGATGGAAAAAGCATGTGTCCTACTCTTTGATGAAATGAAAATTCAAAGCTGTTATGAATATGATAAGAAGAGTGACAGAACCTTAGGACCCAGTAAATATGTGCAAGTTGTCATGGCTCGTGGAATATGTGGAAGGTGGAAGCAGCCCATATTTTATGATTATGACAGGAAAATAACGAAGGATCTTTTGTTTAAAATCATTTCCAAATTAGAAAATCTGGGATACCCAGTTTATGCAATTAATTCCGATTTAGGAGGTAGTAACAGGGGACTATGGAAATCCTTGAATATAACAGAAGAAAGAACATGGTTCACAAATCCTGTAAGCCAAAAAAGAGTACATGTGTTTGCAGATGCACCACACATGATTAAACTATTGCGAAATCACTTTCTTGATGATGGTTTTATTATGAATGGAAAGATTATAACCTCTAAACCAATTGTAGATTTACTCCAAAATACACAAAATTTAGACTTAAATATTGCACATAAAATCAATACCGATTTCTTAACAGTTAAGGGTCCTCAACGACAAAAAGTTAAATTTGCAACCAAATTGTTTTCACACACAGTATCAAAAGCAATTTCAAGGCTGGGATCATTAGGTATTTTTAAAAGTGAAAACAATTGGGTTGAATGTTCAGAATTAATAAAGATCACCAATGACTGGTTTGACGTATTCAATTCGAGAATACCTCAGAGTGATTCAAGGGAACGTGTAAAGGCATATGGGTTGGCTTTAGATGAGCAAAATCAAATTTTAGAGTCAATGGAAAAAACAATGCAAAATCTGAGAAAAGTCGGCTCTAACACGTTGTTGCCGTTTCAACGAGGTATTATAATCAGCATACAGTCTTTGAAGCAGCTTTTTTATGACATGAAAGAGGATTTCGGTATAAAATATCTATTAACTTATAATTTGAATCAGGATCCTTTAGAAGGTTTTTTTTCACAAATTAGAGCAATTGGAGGCTTATATGATCACCCCACTGCTCTGCAGTTCAAATATAGACTCCGCAATTACATCATGGGACGAAATGACGACATTATTTCCAAATCAGCAAATATTGCTACCATAGGGGATGTGCCAAATATTGCAATCGCTAGTGTAAGTAGTATTTCGGACCTTAATGTGTATGAGAATGATGTCGATGACTTTGAAATTGTTACTGGACAAATGTTTGAAGTTTTAAATGTACCAAATTGTGATGAACCTGTACAAAAAGATTCCGATCCAGAGGATACAATCATTGACCATCTCCAAGAATTAGAATGGGATGGTTTAGAAAATTTGGCTGGTTATATAGCATATAGGTTAAGGAAAAAAGAAAATTTAGGTGTTATTCCAGATGACAGTGAATCATCATTTTCATGGGTTAACCACCTCTCTGAGGGTGGTTTATTCAAACCAAATGCCGATTTTATGGTCAAATGTAATGAACTTGACCATATTTTCGGCACTTTTAATGGGGAAACATTGAAATTAACCAAAAATTATCTGAAATCTTTGATGGATTTAGCTGCATCAGTTAGCTTGAGTGCAGATGCCAAGCATCTTTTTTTTCGTTGCAAGATGTATTTTAAAATTAGGAGTTTGAACAGGCACATAAAAGAAAAATCCCAGGTTGCAAAAAGGAAAAAGTTGAAAATTGTGCAATGAATTATATACTAAGTGATATACATATAAATCCGAACACCCAGTTTAAATGGTTTTATTTTAATAAAAGTTGGTGAATGTATTTATCTTACTGTAAATAACAAGTGAAAAAATGTTCAGCCTTGTCAGTTGGACATTCCGGTTTTTATACTGCTTTTTTTTAATTCACTAACGATCTAAAAATGAATATTTCAGCCTTCCTTTACCCTATCTTGACACCCTGTCAGATCCAACTATCCAACAAGATAATGCCCGACCACATGTTGCAAGAGTCACAATAGACTTCTTTCAACATAATGATGTCACATTGTTACCCTGGCCACCAAGATCTCCCGACTTATCCCCAATTGAGCACGTGTGGGATGTGATGGGTAGGCGATTGCTCAATTTGCAACGTCCTCCTCAGACTCTAGAAGCACTTCGAGAGGAGTTGGTGGTTGCCTGGAATGAGATACCACAGGAGGACATTGACCACCTGATCAGAAGCATGCCTAGGCGCGTTGGAGAATGCGTAGCACATCAGGGTGCATCCACACATTATTAAAGGTCAAAGGGCTTTAAAGCAGTGCAATCATTTTGAATTTTTTATCATTTACTTATTATGCTTCATTAAATACTTATACAAAATTTTATTAAAATAAAACCATTTAAACTGGGTGTTCGTCACTTAGTATATAAAATTTGAGGCGCCTAAAGGGACAAATCTGGGATTTTTTTTGCCAATGTGCTCGAAATGGACTTTTTTGTGTTTTCTATTGATGAATCTTTTGTATCTTTACTGATGACTATTGTAAAATGAATTAAATAAAACTGTTTACCAATAAATAAGATTTTAGGGAAAAATCTGAGATATTCTTTTTTGCCAATATGGTCCAAATGTGAGATTCTTTTGTGTTTTCTATTAATAAGACTTGTGTATTTATACCGATGAATATTGTAAAATAAATTAAATAAAACTGTTTACCAATGAATGAGGTTTTTATTGTCACCTATCTATAAAAATATTGAAAAACTATGTAAGTAGACTACCTATTTATACATAACACTATAAAGACATGAGATGCGACATATTCGTCATCTATTTTTTTCTGCTGAAAAAATGCACAAATGAATTATTATTTATTTCTATAAATAAAGTGAGCCCCTTTATTTAGAGTTACAACAAATTTTAGTTATTAAACGGCTGGTGGCATGTTACTGTTCATTTTTAAAACCCATAACTTATCTATAATGATATATTCCAACGCGCGACCCGCCCGATCTCTACTTGCGGCCCAACTGACAAACTCCATTAAATTCTATTGACAAGTACATCAAAACATAAATAATAAAATCTATGCATACTATGCAATACTAAAACAATCATGTGACATTAAAAACACTACAAAATATAAATCAAACATCCCAAATATTGAAATCACAACGTCTAAATCTACATCTAAATCGTATCTGAATACACTGTATTTCGTACTGCGCGCCAAACATAGGTCTCCGCGTGACGTCATGCGCAAAGGCGTACGAAATTCGACCGCGAAGTGAGCTTACCTTCATAGTCTATAGTATCATGGGTGACCATGGTAACAATGTGACATCATTATGTTGAAAGAAGTCTATTGTGACTCTTGCAACATGTGGTCGGGCATTAGCTTATTGGAAAGTTGGATCTGCCAGGGTGTCAAGATAGGGTAAAAGATGGGGTTCTAGAACTTCGTGGATATAACGCTGCGCGTTCATGTTACCTCTGATGAAGATTAAAGGTGACCTGGAACCATAAGCTATAGCACCCCAAACCATAACTCCAACAGTGTGATGAACATGTCTTTCAACAAAAAACTGTGGATTCCTCCTTTCACCACGGCGCCTTCTAACCCTGGCACGACCATCGTGCATGCCTAAACAAAATCGAGACTTGTCACTAAAGACAATACTGTTCCATTCCGGATCCCAGAGTGACCGTTGCCTGCACCACTCAAGGCGATTACGTCGGTGTTCTCGAGTTAAAGGGAGGACCCAGTGTGGCCGGTATGAAAACAAGCCAAAACTTCTCATTCGTCGGTAAACACTTCGCATGCCAATAGGTCTTCCGTGTTCTGCAAACCATTCATTTGCAATGGACCTGGTAGTGGAGAAACGGTCCCTTAAGGCCAATAATCTTAGGCGGCGATCTTCACGGTCTGTTGTTCTACGGCGGCGTCCAGTGCCCCTTGCTCTTTGCGTACGGCCTTCTCGAAGCCATGCCTGACAACACCTAACCACAGTGTCTACACTTCTTTGCACTCTAACTGCAATTGCCCGAAAAGAAGGTCCAGCTTCCCGAAGTCCCACTATACGGCCCCTATCAAACTCACTAAGTTGACGAAATCGTACAGGTCTCCGTACTATAGACATCGTAACCGATCGTAAAGGATGTCAAGAACCAAAATCCGCCAACGTTGATTCTTTACTGCGGCTGAAATATTCATTTTTAGAGCGTTAGTGAATTAAAAAAAAAGCAGTATAAAAACCGGAATGTCCAGCTGATAAGGGTGAAAATTTTTTCACTTGTTATTTACAGTAAGATAAATACATTCACCAACTTTTATTAAAATAAAACCATTTAAACTGGGTGTTCGGATTTATATGTCACTTAGTATATAATACTGTAAATAACAAATAAATACAGCAGAACTTTTAAGCAATGCCTAAACATGTCATGTTATCCGAATGTAAAAAAGGTGCCGATATTTCTGGGTACATTGATGAAACAAGCATGCTTTTGACATTGACGACGTTTTCTCATGCGACATAATCGAGTGGATTGACAGAACCACGATCGCACGATCTAACCAAAGTTTAACAATACGTATAGTATCATGAAACTAGAAATGTGTAGTGTTTTATGAATCACATTCATTAATGATTTTGACATAAAAGACAAATGATTACCTTTCACTTTTCATTGCGTTCCCAATATGCATAATTATTTATTACATTTCTAAATATATGAATGTTGTTGTTATTGATACATAATCTGGATTAATCACTGGTGAATGAGATATTTGTATAAAAAAAGAACGGTCAACTTTTTACAAGAACCGAATATCAACAAATAACCATAAGTTAGCTTCTTATCTAATTGATTATAATTGTTCCCTTAGATAAGAAAATTGAGTTCATGATCACATACCCAGTCTTTGTGAGACTTCAGGTTATCGACAGAATGAGCTAACAGCTTCACATTCCTTTTTTCAAACTGTGGTTGGTGTACAGCTATCCTTCCCAATTCTGTAGTGCAGACAGGAGTGAAATCAGCTGGATGAGAAAACAAAACTACCCATCTGAAAATAGAAATCGCTACTATTTTTCTTCATATAGGGTTTTCTTAAACGCCTTAGAAGTTCTGCCTTAAGTTAATGCATTCTCGGCTTTCTGAGACATTATCTCGGATGTTCCACAGGGGTCTTAGTTCCAACATTATTTACACTCCGTCTTAAACAACTCATCTGTAGTATTTTATGATCTCCGTCTATTGACAACTGACGGGTAAACCCTATTACATCGCAGGATATAACAAGAAATGACTCTAATGTATTTTAAAGGGGCTTGCAACCTATGATGAGAAGAATGGGTTGATACCCTTAAGCTGTAGATAACTAGTTTGAGCTGTTTTTGAATATTAAGGCGACTAACACACGAGGATATTTCTGTTATTTTCGAAAATCTTCAAAAATCACAAAATGATTTAGAAATCACCTTCTGGATTTCTTTCCGTAATTATCATCCATCTTTCATAATTTGGCAGATGGCATAATTTCTGAGTATTCTGTATTTGAGCTGGACATATTACAGATACAAGGAGTACTACTTTTTTTTACTTTAAAAGGCTGAGTACTGGATACTTGGCCTGATTCGATTAGTGTTGGCTTATATTAACATCATATTTGAGTAATTAAACGCTAAAATTCGGATTTTTATGATCATTCAAACTTTGAGCGGATCTCTAGAACGAACTGTTTGGCCCCTGAAGCTTTACGAAGATTCGTGCCTCCATAGCTACTCCCCAGAAAAAAATTTGAACCCGATCTGAGATGCGGTTTGCCAGGCCATGTCGTGGAACATTAGTTTTGACCCAGGTAACAATCCTAAAAATCAACCTCATAAGTTGGGGTTTCTAGTCCTTTCCTTACTAAATCATGTACTTACTTGCCATCTTGCCAGTCGTGAAACTTGATCCTGCCATGTGTGGTTTCAGCGGTAAAGTTGGGAACGACGTCACCGATGTGCAGGGATGGCATGTTTTGGTTACACTGATTTGACTTTCACTTACTGCTTATTAGTAGATACACTAGAACGACTCGATTTAATACAACCGATTTGTAATCTGCCACTATATATACTAAATTCTGTTAAGTTCAGTGTTGCCAGCTTGAAAAAATCAGTGACGTAGAATTAGTGCTTGAAAAAGCATTTTCGTATTCCTATATATTTGAGCTTTATAATATGTATCTACATTTTTTGGATATAACGTCTATAGGCATGTAAATATGTATATGTATAAGCTTTATACAAAAATTGGAATAGGATCGTTGAAAAATTATTTTAATGAGGTATGATAATTCTGGATCAATCAACGTTTGAAAAATTCTTAAATATCCAAAGACGATGTTCAATGTCTTCAATTTATGTGGGGACTTGAATATTACTGTGTATGCGTCAAAACTAAAATTCCACGTCCTGGCTGAGTGGGTCAGGCTCAATCAAATATCAATGAACAAATTTTGACTTCCTTGGGCAGTTTTAGTTCCGAATAGTCATACATTATAGGGCCCAATGCTTTCCAATGACAGGAGTAGCGAGAGAATGGAAAAGTTGCCAAAACTTAAAAATTAACATTTTACCCTGAAATTTCAACAAAGCTTCATGTCTCCATAGGTACTCTCAAGGGATAAAATGAGCCTGATATAGTATATGACCCGCCAAGCTAGGTCGTGGTATTTTAGTTTTGATCCATACACATAAGAGGACATGTGCTTTTATCGGCGCATGGTATTTTCATTTTTTCGGTAGAATATATAAGGCTAAACCTAAAACTAGATTAAGAATTGAGAAAAGGTAATAAATTATTATTACCAATCTTTGGTCAATTCTTAATTTTAGATCACACATCGAAGAGCTGCAGAACACAAGTTCTTATATACCTTATGAAATAACGTACAAAAATGGAAGACTTGTTTATATTGTTTAAGATTAGATATGCTGGGAACTATTATACTCGTTCAGAGTCGTAAACACTTCTACAGATAATTTTAAACAAATACAAATAATTACAGTTATTATGGAACATTACGAAAGAATTGTACAACTCATCTATATTTGTATCTATCAAATCAAAAATGTTTATTTTGAAGTTGTGTTTTTATTTTTGTCACTACAGTATATGGACCGGGATAATGCAAAACTGCAAAAATAATCCTTTGATATTACCTCAAAATTTGAGGGCCGCAAATATTCTGCAGATATAGCTAATGACCTACCTGTTATGCTATCTTTGTTGTTGTATATGTCAATGAAGTTGTATGCATATGGAAAAAAATATTGATACAAATTCTTTTTATTAATACTAGTACATATTAGTGTAACAAAACTTATCACAAAATGAACAAATAGGAGCTGAGATAAAATATCAATGATCTTGAGCAATATAGTACAAACGTTTGATTACATGGTTTACGCAGACAAATCAGAACTTATGTAAAAGAAAAGCCCTCTATAAATCCGTTGCAGAGAAAAATAATGTGGAAAATATTTAAATGTGATGAATAACATTTTTCCACGAGAGTGCTACCAAATCCAATTGAGTCTGACCTTATTAACCATTTTTAGGATGATTAATGATGAAACATTATCTATAAGAAATTATTTTAGAATATTAACAAAATAATTTCACATTAATATGGTTAGCCTTAATATAGATAGAGACAACAGTCTATCAACAAATTTCATGCTTAGAAAACATTTTCCATATCCAACCACAGCTCCTCATTCCTCCAATACTTCGTCACTTCTAACCCAGCGCCTTATTTTTATAACCATACCGGAAATAGGCTATGATCTTTATTTTTTATATTTCATATATTAATATAGTTGGATCAATCCAAAACTGTATGCAGGAAAACTTGTTTGTTGCATCACTAAGTTGCAAATGTCAGTAGGTTCTGTAAGGACAGAAGAGACTGCTAGAAATTTCATTATGATGAATCTAAAACACCTACCTGAGGAATTAAAATCCCTACGTTAGTTTATTTATTCGAATATCGACAACTTAAAGTTGAAATAGTTGAAACAGGTGTTGCGCAGGGATCTGTCTTGGCTTCGGCATTGTTCCTCTTACATATCAACGACCTCCTTTCCTGTACGATCTATCCGATCCACAGCTTTGCTGGCTAGCAGCGACTTATTCTCTGATGAGAGACCTGGAGGTTATCACAGCGTAAGGACGCAAAAATATGGTTCAGTTTAATGCTTTTAAAACACTACCGTACCATGTCCAGCAAGAACAGCGCTGGGGTTAACCATCCAGTTTCGCTGAATGGCCGAGTTCTACCAAGGAGCCGTTCATTTCGGCTGGTCGGAGACCGGATCACCGAGGACTTGATTTGGCATGAACGTCGTCATCACTAGCAATAGGTGCTGGGAAAAAGCTATGCTATTTGTTTAGGGCTGAGGCCCGTATCGTCAGTCGTCCCTACAATTGTAGCGTTTATAGCCTCCTTGATTGTCGTACTCCTTTCTCTCCTTCAAAAATTTCTAGATTACACTTGTCCCGTGTCAGCGTCAGTGCTCTCCTATTGTGAAGATATGTTTTCTTTTTAAATTGTAGGAAATTTCAGGCTGATAAAACATGATATAACTCAAAAACAAGCACACTTTGATGCAAATAGACGTTTGTGACATAACCTCAAAATAGAGTTCTGACACGGAGAAGTAGAAAACTATGACAATCAAGGAGGCCATAAAGGCGCCCTACAATTGTACGGTCGACTGACGATACGGGCCTAAGAAGTACTTTTCTCCATATAACCTCGACACTCTGTACAAGTCCCAGATAAGACCTAGCCTGGGATACTGATCACATAATTGTGGTGCTGCCGCCCCGACCACATTATGCTCGATATTATTTAAAGACTGTCTGACTAATCGATGACTCTTCTCTAACGGACGGTCTCGGAAGCCTTTCGCACCGACAGGCCGTCGGCGATCTGGCTCTTTTCTATCTCTACGTAAACTGGCTTTTGCTCTACTACACGATGCCGGCGAGAGATGTACGGCCAGGCAGACCTACCTGACTTCGGTCTCTCATCCTAACTGGGTAGAACCTCATACATCTAGAACTGGACGATACGACCGCTGTGTCCAGTGTATCGAGGTTGTGGAACAATATACCTGAGGAGTCTTTCTAAACTTGAGCAGTTCAAAAATCGGATTAACATTTCTTTCTCCTCATAGTAGAAGCCGCGGAGACGTTGTATTTAGGCTTCTGCCTGTGCGGCTGCTTTAGTACAAAAAAAAATTAAAAGATCAAGTTACGGAATCCTATAGAAAATTTGATTTATGGACTTTGGTAATATGTGCAGCTTTTATTGGTTTGTTCGTACAGCAGTCGGTACGTTGTCGGCGACTGACAAAATCAGAATCAGAGAGATGTTACCTGTTCGTACAGTTTCTGACTGTTTGCCGACAGCTAATCCGCTGTTCGTACAGAACCTTTTAACAGATCAGAGGACACCAGTCAACCAGTGACAGTGTCAGGTATCACAGTGTGTCGAAAGTATCTTGAGGACTAAAATTGCGTCCCAAGAGGCATCTAATGATCGATGGACGGTCTGGGGACATCTTCGCACCGACGGGCCGTTGGCGATCTAGCTACACCAACGGGCTTTGCTCCTCAGAGCTCTCTTCCATGATGTCATGTGCGTGCCTGACTTTGGCCTCCCATCGTAAGCGTGTCAAACTTCGTAATCCAGAACTGGCCGATAAGACCGCTCCTTTGTCCCGAGGGCGTCGAGATCGTGTAACAATCTACCAGTTGTACTAACTTTAGGTGGTTCAAACATAGGTATAACAAAGTTTCATAAGCTCCTCAAAGCAGCCGCGATGCCCTGGCAAGTAGGGTTCACCTACGCGGCTGCTTCGGTGCAAAAAAACTGAGCGAAATACCGAGAAGATGAAAACCTTGATGATCTACTGAGAAGAGAATGAAACCCACAAACCTGAATTTTGTAGAGAAAAAAGTGCCACAATTCAACAGAAACAAGTTTTTTTCGGGTGAGCAAGTGGCAGAAGAAATTTTAATTAAAGTCCATTTTAAATATTAACCAGCGCCAAAGTGCTTTGTGCTCAATATTTTGTTTATTGACCCGGTAATGGCAAAATGAAGATTCTGGATACAGTATGAAAAATCCGAAGAATAGAGGACATAACTTTCAAGAAACATAATTAATACAATTTTTGTGATCACTAATCTTTTGAAAAATTTTGTTACAGTTGCAAAATGCGAAATTACGCGATTTAAGTGTTACTCCTATGTATTTTCGAAGTCTCAGTTTTTTTTGTACATGTTGGGAACTCTGTGAAACTTATAGCTATGTAACATATGAGCTGTTTTAGCTTTTTGGTGTATAACGCCCTTTATTATTCAAAGACGTTATTAAATATTTGCAGTATTTTCACTTCTTTCTTCTAGTGAGAGTCTGCATATTCAGGGTGTTTCTAATTTGGCACTCACCATTCTGATCTTGGAAACTGTTAGGGATACGAAGTCGCTTAAATGGGGTAGTCAACAAAATGACACTTAGAAAGTTTCGAAATTTAAAGTACTTCCGGAGAGTAACCGAAAACCGAATTTTCGAAAAATCGTTTTAATTTTTTACTGACTTCATTTATATTGGGATTTTAAAATAAATTGCACATTAACAGTGCCACGTTATCCCCTCTTCAAGAAGGCATGATCAGAATTTCAATATGACGGTTCGTCTCTTGTCCTCCAGCATCAACTTTATTGTTTCTTAAGGACGCTATATTGAATTTTTGTACACACAAATTTTGATTCAAAAAATGCATAATACGTCATACACTGACGTTGCCAAACCTTAGTTACTTCTATTTTGATGGGATTTCAAAATAAATCGCATTGCATTGTTACTTATTCTTGTCTACAAGATGGCATAGTCAAATTTGCAATTCGAAATTTCTTCTTTACATTTTCAATTTTGTTTTTTCATGCGGACACTATATTGGAATTTTGTACATTTAAATGAACTGTTCAGCCCTAAATTCACTGATGTATTTCGTTAGTTGACCATACGTTTGTTGTTAGATGAAAGTTAAAAGGAAATAAAAAGATATGGTGAAACCTGAATACGAAATGAACATTTTATTGATGGTAATAACAATAATAACCATAAATAAGCAAAGATCTTTACCCTGTTGCTATGCAAACGAATGATATCTGATAATTACCAGACCTACCTAGGAACTTCTGGAATAACTCAGATTTCTATTCGTATGTGTAAGAATCCAATATGGCGTCTATAAGAACAAATTAAGTTGATGCTGGAGGTCAAGAGACGAAACATATTAAAATTCTAGTTATGCTGTCTTGTAGAGGAGAAAATGTGGGAGACTTGATAAAGTCAGGAGAAAATTAAAACCATTTTCAATTTCAAAACTTTCTAAGCGACATTTTGCTGATTATCTGAATACGCAACTTTGCCCCTTGAAGTTTCCGAGATACCAATGGTGAGGGTCGAATTTAAAACACCCTGTATAGGGGAAAAAAGCTGTATCACAAAATCTCCAGAATTCGTTATTTTGTTTATTTTTTCATCAGCTTTGGGTTAGACTTGCATAGCTAGAATATATAATTATTGTTTCTACATACACTTCGAGGCTGGGCGACAAGGGAACAGGGAACGAAAACCCTACTATCCCAGTTTTATTAAAAGTCATTCAAAATACTTTGTATATTTCTCATGCATAATCACTGCAGATGTTTATTCAGAATTCTTACTATGTATTTACTTCTTCAACTTGTCATTTCATGTGTGGAATCACATTTCTTCGCATTTATGTTTATACTTTTTATATGACACATTCGGGCAGCTGGACTAAAAATCCTAGATCATTCTGGTTTACAGCAAATGAACAAAAATTTTACAATCGAATAACTATTGTACTTGATTTCGAGCTTTGACAATTTACTTTAAAATTATCTGCTGACTAATTTGATAGTCGTCAAACAGTCAAAAGTTTCTGTACGAATAGCGGATTAGTTGTCTTACCTCCCTCAGACAACTCGTAACGTTCTCATGTACTCATGACTTGTCGCTGACTATCAGTTTGCTGACTGTCACCAAACATGCCGTACGAACAATCCATAAATCATACAGGTTGTATCAAAATGATTAAACATTTGAACCCGCTCCTGAAATACATTTTTTACAACTTGCAGAATCTGACTTCCAGCACTCACTATTGAAATCATCCGATTAATAGGCAAACTGTGTATTTCCGAAATACTGCTTTTTGATTGCCACACATTTCTCTGTGAAAAAAAATAATCCAATGGCCGTAGTGGCTTACATCAAATCATCGAGCTCATGAGTAAGTTTTTCAGAGTATAATAATATAGCCTATTTTATGTTATATACATATTTCTTCTGAGGGAACCTATTCTCCTTTTTTTTTCTGAATATTAAGGCTTGGGCAAATACCGAACACGCTTTAGACATTAAGCCATTTGACAGTTCGTTAGTTTTAATAGTACTTAATTTGAATGTTTAGCACGATCGCATGTCTATCTCGTGTAATTGGTGTACCTACGCTTGTCCTGATTCATCAACTTCAAAAGATGTCCTACATAATCATACTTTGCTTATCATGCTGTACTTGTATGATTCTAATACATAGTGGTTTTCAAACAGGTGCCGCCTAATCATATTTTCGATAAGGTGCCAAATTTGCCAGCTAAAATTTGGGGTGACGACATTCCTACATGAATACTATACAGGGCGTTTCAGAACTATGGGATCAATTTTTGCCTTTTGTATATACATGGTATCAAGGTATCATCACAACAATTGTTCAAAATATCTTCCTCCAACCTAAATACATCGTTCCTGTGGGGACATGTAAAATCTTTGGTTTACGAAACTCCAGTAGAAACAGAGCAAGACTTAACTGGACGAATTACAGCAGCATTTGAAATCACTCAAAATGAGTATCAAATTTTTAGTCAAGTCCACCGAAATAATGTGCGACGTTTAAATCGGTGTGTTCAGGTTGGAGGAAGACATTTTGATAAATTGTTGTGATGATAACATGTACAAAAGGCAAAAATTAAACGCATTAAATAGTATTTAGGCAAGTCATCGTCTTTATAAACTTTAACGCGTCTTAAGGCCCGTAGTGCCGTAGTGACACTTTTCCGGATATGGGTCCCTATACTCAAATGTTTTCTACTGTCACACTGAATAACCCCTAGAAGTTTGATCCCTTAGTTCTGAAACACCCTGTATTTTAGAGTAAGCAGGTGGCAGTTGAAAATAACAAGATGATAGTTTAGACCAATTTTTTGAAAACGGTATAGGTGCCATGTGACATCTCCTTATGAATACTTAGTAATTCTAGAATATACACTTGACACCTTGTCAAATTTGAATATTTTGGTATCTTGAATCACATCACTCGACTAGCAATTAAAACGCATTTATGTGTATGTCGTTTCAATCTTTCCCAGTACCTATACAGGGTGATTTACAAGTCATGACCAAAAATGAAACATCATACACAGGACCGCATTTTAAGGGGTCTTCTATGCAACATTTTTTTTTCAAGGGCTTCATTAAAAAGATAGGTAGATCTATATACCAAATTTTAGTTCATTCCAGTTGACGGTTTTGAAGATATTATTTTTTTTATTTTTAAACTTCTTTTTAATGCAGCCCTCGACGAAATAATGTTACCCCCCTTAAAATGCGGTCCTGTGTATGATGTTTCATTTTTAGTCACGACTTGTGAATCCCCCTGTATAATATAGGATGGGATAAGCAGTTGAAAAAAAGGAATTCTAAAAATCTGTCCATTTTTCAACCGGATTAACGCGTACTTCATCGCACATACAACATTTAGGTGGTTAGTTGTTGAGCAATGTACTAATGTACAAGAACGCTCAACTTATGAAGCCCGCCAGACTGCTGATCTGAGAGATAGTAGATCTATACTCTATTATTATAAAATGATATATCACATCATGCCCCATTTTATTAAAAAAGATAGTCCAAGAAAGTGCTCAACCGCAATCTTAAAATTTTATCTGCTACTCTCATGCTAAAATATAGTATTTCAGCTGGCTAATTTGACCTGTTCAAAAAAAGGTGGGAGAAGTATGTTTTTGAAAGGCGCGATACGTCAACACATTCTGAAACCTTTTTACTGTCGGTACACACGGTCGTTAAATTTTCGCGCAGGAAAGAACTCGCTTTGTAATGCGCGCGCGTGTAAGACAATTTAGCGTTCCTATGTTACAGCGTTCAAAAATTACTTATGATAATTTCTGTATTTACTATATATGCTTTGAAAAGTTAGTGTTTCATAGATGGCTCCGTAGCCAAATATATGCTTGTATATGATTAGCACCATTTAAGTATAAGACATTAAACTTTTCAAACTATATAGGGTGTAATTTAATTGATGGCTAAAGTGCAGGTTATGATTCCTTAGCTCATTTTAGGAAGAAAAGTTCATATGAACATATGACTTAAAGTTTTGAGTTAGAGGATGTTGAAATTTTAAGGAAAAAATCTACAGTACACATCCCGTACGGACGCCACTAGAAGAAATATTAACAAATAGTCTACATCAAAAAATGCCTATTGGTGCTTAGTAGATATAAGTCATGAAAATATCTAGAACAGTATTAAAGTTTTTCTTGAAATCTTAACACCCAGTAGCTCAAAAGTTAAGAGGTTAAAGACATATGTTCATGTAAACTTTTCTTTCTAAAATGAGCTAAGGAACCATATTGTGTATTTTTAGTCATCAATTAAATTACACCCTGTATATAGTATATAAACAGCTGTTACAAATTTTCATACATGACGCTACGGTAAACCCTATTTCACGAGTATCCATCACGCTTTGACGTCTACTGAGGTGAACAGCTGATCAGCAGGTGACATTTTTGTGTTAGTCTGCAACGTTGGCAATAATGAATCGGGTATAAATCTAATAACACTTGTTTGTGGCGTTTTGTTGTTTGCACGCAAATTAACTTTTCTACTCGTAAATAAAAAGCTATTAACAAGTACAAAATGAATCTGTAGCGTACAAAAAACCAAAACAAAATATGGCTCGGTCTACTTGGCGTTGACGGATCCGTCAGAATTATGTGTCCTGTGCCGATATGGGGAATTTTGAAGTATTAACAGATAACAGCTGCCATTCTATCGTGATGGATACTCGTGAAATAGGGTATATCTCATTTCACCTCCGATATTTTTCTTGGACGCGGAAATATAGAATTAATTGTGTCGGCTATCTTCATGTAGAATGCGTTAACAGTTAGAATACGTAAATCAATAATTAACCTGTTGAAATTCAGCAGCCTATAAGATCGAACTACTTCTACCGACCGCTGATTGAAATCCATTTAATTCTGTCAATATCTATTAGTTTATGACTCTATAATGAAATTTATTAAGTAATTTATGCAGAAGAAGTCAAACAAGTTATTTGTTGTTTTATTCGATATGTTGAACGATTTTCTAGTACATTCGTGTAGTAGATCTTGATGGAAGAAATCCGGTTCTTCCTGGATTGCACTTTTTGACACGAAATCTCGTTCTCTTTGATCTGCTCAAGCCTCTAAACGGGCGCTCAGGCCAATCAATAGAGATGTTTCAACATTGAATAGGTATAAGTTTTTCGAAATTATGTTTGAAACCATACATTACAGTTAAATGCAACAACATTTTCCAAACGTATAATTAGGCAACCTTTCTAGTCTTCCCTTACATTCAGCTTTTTCACAATAAACTGTGGGATGTGTGCCAATGTTAATGATATAATAATCATTTCCCAAACAATGCTGCGTATTTGAGAAAAAAAGAAAAACAATATTTTTTTTTATAGTTCAAATATCTTCTGAACTCTTAAAGCATTTTGTTCTACGGAATTGCAATAAACAAGTAATTGTTTTAAACAATTACTGAATACAAAGTCATTAAAAAAAGAAAACATTTTCTCTATTGATTGGGCTAACTAGGCACTTTGTCCACCTGCCATTCTTAAAAATAAGCAGCCACAGATGTTTCGTATATTTGATACTTGAATACTATGTAATAAGCAACACCGATATCTATACATTTCCTAATAACAGAAAAACAATACTGAGAGATCTTAACGAAAAAACAGCGTTTAACGAGCGGGCGCCTCGATTTGATTCTTTAATTGTTGTTGTTAGCGCCTTTTCTCTTTCTCTAAAAAGGTTCTTTGCCAACATCCGCATCTTGGAGATTTTATCATCGAAGACGGCCGTGGACGAATTCGTTGGCACGTTCACGTTGCAGTAGTTCTGGTCGCAACACGATACGCATATCTGAAAAAAAAATAACAAAGCTTCACTATAGCTGAATTTGATCTTAAGTAGGTGATACTGCCATCTATGAGTAGTTTGGCAAAGTAGTAAGTACCCTGAAACCTACGTGTACGTGTACGTAAAGCAGGAACCACAATGCTTCCCGGCATATCTGAAATGACAGCCAACTCAATGGATGTTACGAGTGTCGCCCAGCATCATAGACGACTCGTCAATCAGGGGAGCATTGAGGCCCGATGGGTCACAAACTTAACCAATGAGAAGGTCTCTTTGATGTACTTATTGGATGTAATTAATATTGTCGATTTCTTGTAACAAGTCTTTCAAACTAGAAAAAAATTATACGATTTGTGTAAAATGAGCCCCTAGTTCCCATATTAAACCAAGAAATACGTCCCAAGTTACTTGGTTTAGCTACAAAACTTATTTTTTTGACATATGACAGCAAATTTTCATTATATTGAAAATAATTCTGACAGACTGTTGCTGTATAAAATCCGACTGATAAATTCTCTGGGGACATAAATAAAATTACAGAATGCTTATTATTCAACAAACAGCTCGCTCCCTCTACTGGACAGTAGGACAACTACTTCTAGTCTTGACACCGTCATCGCGGTGTAGCGTGGTGGTGTAGTCGTCTTACCGTCCAATCGAGTGTGCGACAATTTCCTGTTGACAGTAAATAAGTACATCGATTATCTACTTCATATTTGTTAAAGAATAAGCATTCTGTAAATTTATTTATTCCTTCAAAGAATTTATTGAGCAGAATTTTGTACAGCAACAGTGTATCAGATTTGATCCCTGTGTCGAGTAGGCCACAAATCCTTTTTAATTTATGGAATTTGTGTCCGAACACAAATCAAGAATATGTTTTTGTAGCTGAATTATGTGATATGTGAAGTATTTCGTGATTTGAATTGAATTCATTACATCCATTACTTTAAAGACGCCGTCTTATCCACCCAATTTGTGTCAAAAGCGCAAATTTTGGTTCTCGTCGGTCTCGTCTCGTCCTTTGTTATTTGAGCGGTTGGCTCTTATCTGGCAGAATGAAAGACGAAAGAAAGGAAGAAAAGGAGAAAGGGGAGCAAAAAGGGGAATAGAATCAATTAATAAGAAGGGAATTTATTTGATTTGTATTCCGAAAGGTGCTTAGTTTGGTTATAGTATTGTCAAAAGATTTATAACTTGGAGATTCTCGTCGGTCGATAGTAAAATCGGGACTAAATTTCGTATTCTCAGTCGCTCATATTTGACTTCCTATCTCGAAGGGCGCCTATTTTGGCCATTGACTCCCTAATTCCCTTCTTTTCTTTTTTTGTGCCTTTTAGGAAAACAAAAATAACCTGCCTTTTTGCCTTTCTAAAATAAAGAAAGAACTGAAAGGAAAACTGGATGGTTATGAGTCAAAAATGGCGTCATTCGAATTATGAAGTCAAACAGGAGAGAGTGAAACTACGACCCTAACTATTTACCATGCTGTCAGCTGTAAAGCACTATGCAAAAGTTGCATAAACTAAATAAATATAGGCTGAATAGGATCTATTTGCTTTCTGTTATTCTCAATTAGACGAAGATTCTATGTAGAAATTAAAAAAATCTCAAAATGGGGATAAGGAGATACATAGCCCTGAAAGATCACACTGAAAGATCACAGAAAATAGGGCCAAGACAGAAGAAACTGCAAAGCATGGATGTCGTGTTATAATGACAGAAGGACCACCTACTTGATAATTTATCATCCAAGTCCAAAGGACTGTGAACCTTATTAGGAACTTAAAAAATGGCTCCGTTCAATTCTTATAGGGGATGCTCAATAAGTGCCTTATCAAGCATTATACCTGATGACTAAGGCATACACCAAAGTCTATAAATACAATTAGTATTGTATCCTTATCTCCACTTAAAGACTAAACTGTAGGTATCTCTAGCGTAATAAGCATTTATGCCCCTTGGCCCCTAATTTCACGCCGCGGGCCATATTCGCCGTTTAGAGACCTAGATACACAAATAGCTATTTTTGGAAAGCCTTGATGACAAGCTGGTAAGTTATTCCATTTGGAAGTCCTTTACCTCCTAAAATGTAGGAGGTCTTAATAATAGAGGACAATATTAGAGAAGGCTCACCGTTTGGGCGTCGATTTCTACACAGCCTACTTTGTTTCTTTGGCACTCCTTTTCAGTAGTACATTTCTTATTGACCAATATACTGGTTCCTTTTTTATCCATGATGTGTAGTGTATGGCAGAATGTCTCTCCTAAAAACAAAGATGCATCTTTGTTAATTGTGAATTGAGTTCTACGTGCTCTCTACAAATTAATGTGTACAGAATGTCCGAACACAGTGGCTGTGGATGGCGAGCAATGGAAAAGAATGGCTAGATAATTAATTTCTCACCATCTTTTGTACAAAAAAAAAATTCTTCGCGTAAACGTTATAGTTGAATGCCAAAAATGGTGTTAAGAGAGAAAAGTTGGCCACGAACATGTATGGCAAAAAATGTATGGATCAAGTCGCACAAACAAGCTCATGCGGATTTCCAGGAATTAGCACCATCTGAGAAAGTTTCCTGAATTATGTAGTCGGAACTTCAAACTTCGTTTTTAAAAACTTTATTTGATTCCAACAATAGTTTACATGGACCGAACCGGAATTACAGTGTGTGTGTTCGCTGTGACTGAGATTGAATGACTGACTGCATAATTAAGATACAATCGTTACTATAAACCAAAAGTGATGAGCTAGTAAAAAGGAATACAATGCAATTATTATATTAATTAATAAAGTGCTAAATGACGGCAACATAACTCCTCCACCCTTAAGATGAAGTTTTGGAGGGCTCTGGGGTTGCATTTCGATTTCTTCTAACTGTTGGCTTCTTCTTGATCCTTTTCTTCTCTGGTAATACTTTTTCACGAAAATGCATGCAATTCCAATTAACATAATTGCATACAGGGGTAGACTCCATTTGTAGGGGTGCTTCACTGTTTCGGGAAGATCTACCTGGATTTGGTCGGCTCGTTCTTGCAAGTGATGAAGTTTATCTAAGGAAATATGTACTAACTTGATTTCCTTTGGATTTTCTGTTTTTGATGAAATGTGGACCTCTGGAAGCAATAGAGGCTTTTCCATGGTTGTTCCTTTTTGATTTTTGTAAATGTAGTCCTTCGTTTGTATGCTGCACTGGTAAGGCACTTCAAGTAGGTAAATGCCTTTTAACTCTATGACGTCATCTTGTTCACACTTGATTATCAGCTTTTCAGGTTTCGGAAAAATAGCAATGTATTTGGACTCTGAAACTTCTTCAATTAAGGCCATTTTAAGAGTTGGGAATTTTGTTACAATTTGGCTGCTTTTTGTTTACTTGTAAAATAGCAAATAGACAATCGTCTTCTTCTTCTGCAACATGGACCAATTTGTTTTCGTGGCAAATAAAAATATCTTCTATCATTTGACATGGTTCAGCATCATATTGGTACATTTTGGTACTCATTGTGAAATAGGAATTTTTTGAATAATGGTAGTTAGGTTAACAATAGGAATGGAATAAAGATGATAATGCTTAAATTTGTCTACGTGCAAAAGCGGGACATGTAAGGCAAAAACTAATCGATTTTGAGAAAAATATGCTTCTACTGAAATTATGTCGTAAAGCTTATAAATATCTTTGATGTCTGAATACACCAACTGAGCTTTATTATGATTTTTGACTAATATTTGGAATATTGATTAAAATTAAATTCATCTATCGAAATAATACTGTGGTGCAGTGACCCAATTTTGGCAAATGCGATGGCATTTTCCAAATTACTAGTTATAGAGAGCAGTGTATCTAAATTGAACTTTATTTGTAATAGTGTATCCAAAATAGTAAAATAGTATGTATTGTTCCTTTGCATCTCTACCAAAGTTTGTTCGATTACAGCTTGATTGTGAACCATAAGGCTAAATGTCTTATTGTTATTTTTGAGAACTTCGTGGGTCAAGGAAATTTGCTGATTAACTGTCTTAATTACTTGATTCTGATTTTTCTGTAATTGTTCAATAGCCTGGTCATATTTTTTAGCATCGTCATCATCTAAGTTCCCTGAAATCATTTTGATAATTGATCCTAAACCATTTATTAAACCTCGTTTTGGACGATATTGCTTTTTCCAGAATGGATATATGGACTTTATCTTGTTTTTCAAATTTGACATCGAGTAAACTGTATGCTGTTCTATATCTGCCAAATGTGTATCTGGAATGAATCCTAAATTATATTTATTCTTTTCTGTTTGGACCTTAATTTCTTGAAATACTGTACTTAGCGAATTTACTTCCTTAATTATCGGCTCAAAATCTACATAGTGTAAAAATGTATGTGTTCCTATTTTTACTTTAGCATCACCTAATCTGAAGGGTAGTATACCAGGGTTTGTTTTAAGGTTGGTGACCTTCACCGTGGACTGATGTGTCAGATGCACTATCAGAAGAAGTATCATCCTGGAACAAATTTTGAGTTACTTTCTTTCTGGGCTTTTTGAAAATACTTTTATGATAAATATTTCTATCAGTTTTTAGTTTTAAACCTTTGTCAGTCAGAATCTGTTCTTTTATATAGGGTGGTTTCAGCTTTTTACCTCGGGACTTCGCGTCACGTCGGTACGCTACTTTTTCTCTAGAATAGTCGGTCAGTTTTTCGCGATCTTTATTAGCTTTTCGAATAACCTTTTCCTTTTGGGTTTTCGACATGTCATAGATAAGGCTATAAATTAATTTTGTCCTATTCTTGTGTTCTTGAAGGTAATTGTTCATTAATTCTCGATCAACGTCTAGATCAAAAGGATCTCTAACGTCTAAATGTCCGTTAATAATTTCAATTGGTTTTCGTTTCGTCACTGAATGTATGGACGGATTGTAGCCAAGGATTGCATGAGGCATCAAAGAATCAACATCCTTTTTTGGAAATTGCAATGCAAGAGCTCTTAAATGTTCTGTTATAGTGGAGTGGAATCGTTCAATAGGTGAATTACTATTTGAATTTTTTTAAGTTGTAAAATGTAGCTTTATCTTATGGAGTTTTGCAAACTCTTTTATTAAGGAGTTGTTGAACTCAGTACCAGAATCTGCAACAATTTGGATGGGTAAACCATGAAATGACATGAATTTGATTAAATTGTCTACAACAGAGATAGCATCAGCTGCTTCGATTGGGAAGGCTTGGGCATATTTCGAAAAATTATCAATTATTGTTAAAAATTTCTTATTGTTAGCTTGATATACATCTAAGTGAACAATTTGGAATGGCATTTTAGCTGTCGGGGTAATCTCAAATTCAATTCTAGGTGGATGTCTGTCATATTTGCCTTGCTGGCGAATATCGCAAGTATTGACGTATAACTTCACGTCATCATCAATGTGGGGCCAATAATATTTTCTTTTAATTTGGTTTACAGTCTCAATGATTCCTCGGTGATTAGTTTTGGTTTCGTGATTATACTTCATGATTTCCTCTTGTCTCAAAACGTCAGTAATATTTTCAAGCTTTTTACTGCACTTAACTAATTTGAACGCAGAATTTTTGAATGTATTAGATACAAGGTTCGCGAGATTTTTATACATTTCGTCGTTATGATTATCTTCAAAATAAAATGCATAAGTACTTTTTGGTACACCGTAGTCTTTGAGAAAGTGTATAATAGGAGTTAAATCACCATTAACAATATACAATGTGTATAAGAATTTCTTCGGATCCCATAAGGTTTGAAGTGTGAGTTTTCTGGGCATAATGGCTTTTCTAACAAAAATTTTGTACTTGAAAACATTGATAGGTTTTTCTACAGGGTTAATTTCTTGAATGGGGCTTTCATCGTCTGAGTGAATAGTTACGTTTTCAACTCGTTCACTCAAGTCTAGCAAATTGCGTACTGTTTGTTCATCACCTACATTATTTTCTATAGACGTTTGGTCATCTGCAGGTTTTTCCGAAAAGTCTTTATTGAAGGTTTTCATGTATCGGATAAATCTTCTTCATCTTGGATTTGTGATGTAGAAGGTTGTGGGTCAATTTCGGTAGCGTGAATTTGAATACGAGAAAGCGCATCAGCATTTTTATTTTCTTTACCTTTTTTGTATATAACTTCATACTCAAATTCGGATAATTTTCAGCGCCATCTTTGTAATCTAGAATTTGGTTCTTTTAAAGTCATTAACCACTGAAGCGGTTTGCAATCTGTTACAATTTTAAATTTTCGTCCAAAAAGATAATGTCTAAAATACTTAGTTCCATAAACTATTGCTAAACATTCTTTTTCTGTCGCACTGTAATTTTGTTCAGAATCATTTAATGTTCTAGACGCATAAGCTATTGGTTTGTCAGAGCCAATAGGGCCTTGAGAAAGTATAGCTGATACAGCAAAATTACTTGCGTCGGTAGTCAATACGAAGGGCTTTTCAAAATCCGGATATTGTAATAATGGTTCATTTTTCAAAAGATTCTTACAATGTTCAAAAGCTTTGAGAAATTTTTCGTTATGTTTAATTTCTGCTCCTTTTTTTTAAACATAGGGTGAAAGGGCGAGTGATTTTTGCAAAGTCCTTAATGAACTTACGATAATAACCAATCAAACCTAAAAACTGTTTAATTTCGCGGGTGGTTCTGGGCAATGGATATTTGAGAATGGCTTGAATTTTGTCGGGGTTTGGTTTTACTCCTTGCGATGTGACAATGTGACCAAGAAAGGCTACTTCCTTTTTCAAAAATTCGGATTTGTCTAATTGAACTTTGAGGTTTGTCTCCCTTAATCTTTGGAAAACCTTTTTCAATGATACAATGTGTTCTTGTAAAGAAGTAGAATAAATTATGATGTCATCCATATACACCATAGTGTTATCTAGTCCTCGCAAGACATTGTCCATAACACGCTGAAATGTGCTTGGTGCTCCTTTAAGACCAAAACTCATACGAAGGTATTCGTAATGACCTCCATCAACACTAAACGCTGTTTTTTGAATATCATCCGGGGCTATTTCAATTTGGTGGAAACCGCTAGCTAAATCCAAAGTTGTGAAATAATTACAACGACCTAATTTGTCTAAAATGTCAGAAATACATGGAATGGGGTAGCGATCATCTATGGTCTTTTCGTTAACCTTTCGATAGTCAACCACCATACGCCATTTCTTTTTACCACTAGCATCAGGTTTTTTGGGAATGAGAAAAACTGGAGAATTCCAAGCTGAACAACTGTGTCGAATAATATTCTGATCTAGAAGGGATCTAATTTGGCTTTGCATTTCATTTTTGAGCATGTGTGGATAACGATACGATTTTGTATGAATAGGAATTTCATCTGTGGTCCTAATATGATGCTTAATTTGGTTTGTGAAAGTTAACGCATCGCCCTCGTAATAGAATACGTCTGAGTAGGTTTGACACAATTTTAGAATATGAGTTTTTTCTTCATTATTGAGATGAGATGTTCGTATCAGGTTACTGATATCACGTCGCAACGGCGAAGCTCATTCAGATGGTTTAATGATAGCGTGGAATAAAGCGTAATTGTTTGCGTCGAATGGAAATGAAACAATAGGCTCATACAAGGAAATTTCTTGATAAGTGTTACTTGGATTTTCTAGGTCAACTAGGGCATAACCGTTTATAGCATGAGTAAGCGTTTCCTTGATTACACAATATCTAATTTTGGAATTTGGAATCAAAATTTCTCCATTATAAGTATCGACAGGAATTTTGGCTTGGGCCGCCGTGTAGGGCTCAATTTCTATGAAAAATAACAAAGGATTTTTCAAATCATGAAATTTGATTGGAATTTTGGCGTTTTTGGTATGCAAAATAGAATTTCTAAGGTCAATATGCGAATTTAGAAGTTTCAAAATATCTAAACCAATCAGACCATCAAAATACTTGTGAAATTTGAACAAATGAAATTTTATAGGCTCACTAACATTGAGTTCTGAGAAGGCAGGAATTTTAGCACAATAGTCTCTCTTCGAATGCTGAAAAACTGAAGTTACTTCGAATGGTTCTTTATAAATACATTTTGGAAAATGCAACTGTGCAAGATCAGGATTTAAAAATGATTTCGTTGCACCAGTATCAATAAGAAGCTTTAAAGGCGGATTTTTAATTTCAATATAAGGTAACTCTGTTTTGTCATAAATTGTGTTTAAGTATATTATGTCTCCTCTATCATGGGCACGGCCATCTGAACATTTTGTTTTTCTTCATCAGGCTTTTTACCAGTTTCAGAAACATCATTTTGTGTCTCATCAGGGTTTTCGTAATATAGATCAGAACAGTCATACTGATTTTCACTATCCTGACAATATTCCGAGTAATAGTCATCGTAAGGGTTGTTTCCAAAATTTTGATCATAAGGATCACTCTCAACGTTATGTAATTCTTGAGAAGCAAAGTTCCTTGGGCCAGAAGGCCTAAAATAATTATTTTGGAAATTCTTATTTCTATTGATGCTACTAACACCACTCATAGGAGTAGGCCTGTAGGAAGGTCCTTGATTAGGCGGATTACGCCAAACATTAACATTAGGTCTATTGCCAAAAACTTGTGCGTTTGTTGGAAATTTTTGTGGAAGAGGATTTTGTCTAGGTTGAATCGGAACTGGTCCTCTTGGGAATTGAGGCTGATAATTGAAATTTTGCTGAGGCCTAAATTGATTCATAGGCTGCATTTGAGGCTTAAACAAATTTTGAAAATGTGGTTTGGATGGAAGGGCAGGCTGAGGTGGCTTATTGAAATTTGAATGTGCACCAGCCTTTTGTAAATATCTAATGTTATTATCTTCTAAAATATAAGCTTGAGCTTCTGCCAAATTTTTAGGTTTCATCGACCGAATCATGGAACTTTGTGGCTCCTTTAAACCTACTAAAAGTGTATGCAATGCATGACTATCATACAGTGCCTTTTTACTTGTTTTAATAGCATCAACTGTTTCATGAATATTTATATAGTTATGTAAATGATTCAGCATGGTTACAACTCTAGAATAAAACTGTAAAGAGCTTTCATTAGAATTTTGTCTAAGGGCAGTCATATCTGAAATAAGACTACTCTCGTTTCTTTGATCACCAAAATGAGCAATTAGCAAATTTTTTATGCTTTCCCAGTCTGTGGAACCGCTAAGAGAAAATACTTGCTCTGCAGCACCAGTCAATTTCGAGAAAATTCCATGCAGCAGTATTTTGTTTTGGACACATATGTATCGTCAGTGTTCCAATAGTTATTTAATAAATCTGTGCTAATTTCTAAATATCTATATAGTCTACAGGGATTCCCATCAAATTCTGGGACAATTTGGAGTAATTTTATGTCGAACTGGGGGGCACTATTTCTACTGGGGGTCGTCATTATTATCCGTTCTATAGTTTCGTTTGCTTGTCTTATTTCTCTACTTCCTAATTCTAAGCTTGCTATGCGATTAGCGATTTGATCTGCACTATCACCTTCGAAAGGATGTACAGGTCGGGGTGAGTCACTCATGAAAAAATAAGGATACAATGAGCACTTACTGATAGGTCCAGTACTTCATCCCGTTCTTGGCCTAGGTTCCTCAGGTGGACGTCGACTTCAACAGGACAAAGGGCACTTGTGGTCCAAATTCTTTCTTCTTTCTTCAGTCGTACCGGCTCGTCACGGAGGTTCGTGATTCCCAATTAAGAGTTCGGACTCAAGGGCTAATCGGCGGAAATCCCTTTGGGAATCCTACTGCGGGCTGCGCCAATTATGTAGTCGGAACTTCAAACTTCGTTTTTAAAAACTTTATTTGATTCCAACAATAGTTTACATGGACCGAACCGGAATTACAGTGTGTGTGTTCGCTGTGACTGAGATTGAATGACTGACTGCATAATTAAGATACAATCGTTAATATAAACCAAAAGTGATGAGCTAGTAAAAAGGAATACAATGCAATTATTATATTAATTAATAAAGTGCTAAATGACGGCAACATAACTCCTGCCTTCCGCTTTTCAAAAGGTTTCGGAGGTAGCTACACTTTGGCACAGAATCGTTTGCCCCTCTCTCCCTGGAATTTTTTTGTAGGCATCCATGAACGTTGTTATTACTAGCCACGCCGCTCGTCACCCACGGCAGTACGGCAGCCACCATCGACTGTGAAACAAAGACATCCAGCATCTACGGGGCAATCTATGATGTCTAATATATGTGTGTAATAGGAGCCTATAATTATCATGGATGGAAGTGTATAAATATGCTGATGTCAAAAAGTTGAGAGATGTTCATCAATCCCCAATTTTTAACCTCTACAAATTTTTTTCTGAAGCCTCTGATACGTCAAAAAACGAGTTTGAGCGGTTTTTATTCTCACATTTCTTGCATTCGCTCCGCCGCCACAGGAACACTTTTGAAAAACTACAAAGATTTTTGGCCCCTGGCATAGTAGTGAATCTGTGTGAACATTTCTTCAAAATTAGTGCGGTACTTTCTTAGTTTTAGACGAACCTAGGATTAGCGTACATGCCGACAAACAAACCGACGGACATGAGTCGCATGGCTTATAACTTCCAAAAAAACAATATCTTATTTTCGAAATTCTTCGCAATTACAAACAGTACTTCCTCATCTGACGTAAAATGCGAAAGAGTAGCTTAACGCATTGTACGACACTGTTCACGAGGTGTTTCTGAGTGCGGTGGGTCTGGGCACAGGCACACACTGTGTTATCAGTGGCGTACGATGGGTTACGCTAGCCGATAGAAGCTCGCGAATGTGAAGTTTTAAAGAAACATACAAACTTTTGAACCGAACTTAACAAATTTGTTTTTTTACTGAAGAAAGAGTCATAGAGACGTTTTTACTAGAGTGAGCAAATGAATCTTTCAGTAGAACACAAAATAATACAACAATATTCAAATGAAAACACTTATAATTTGCAGTTTTCCTCTTGAATCAACGGCGTTTTCAGTGGCATAACTTACTATTCTATTTTCGACTGCACAACATACCTGGTTTACAGGGCCTATCGATGGCGAATTGATTACAAACTAGATTGTCAGATACGTTGACGCAAATGTAGCACGTGACAGCATACTGGTCGAAATCGGTGACGTCAGTGGAATCTACGAAGTTTGTCGCGATGTTCTTGTCTTCCATTGCTGTATTTGTCATAAAAATACAGCTGAGGAGCATGCTCAGTCTGAACATCACAAGCTGAAACCAAATATAATGTTTAGTGTAAACGATGTTGGTCATTCTGAAAAACACATGGATGTACCGACATAGGTCAAAATATGTATTTTGGATAACGTCATGCGTACCATTCAGACACTTTTATTTATTTCGACTTCGATATTATTTTAATTTATTATTTTTATTTAAACTGTGTTAAGCTATTAGAAAAGCATAATAAATAATGAAAAACAATATGAGAAATTTTGCTTAGTGTCGGATGCAAGAATAAACGAAATTTTGGAATTAGATAAACAAAGAGGTGTCTTACCTCAATAAAGAAGTCATAGAACTGCTGCAATTTTACAACCAGTCCACCTAGAAGTTGACCTGAAACAAAATACTTTTGTTACCAGTAAGTAGTCATCCTCACCTTAAATACATATCTTAGATTTAGACCGATTTGGTATGTTTTTGCGTTGGCGGTGAACATAATTAACAGTTTCTTGTATTAATGGTAATGAGTCAGATTAGTGCTTACATAGTTTATGTAGCTTTAAACTTTAATTATTTTGAATTCTTGATTCTTTGCTACATCTCGCTAAGATGGATAAAGGAAATAGCTTAGGATTTATCTTCATCTAAATCAGGACTTACTTCAAGAGCTTGTTTCAGATTCATTTTCAGTACACAGTAATATCCGTATTTCTACTTTACGCCGGTAGTAGCTAGGAAAATATTTATACGTTGCTGACTTACTAAATTTCAGCTTCAGAACTTAAGCTCGAAGGCATGTGATTTGTTTGTAACTTCGAGAAAATTAAGAAGAGTCAACAATGCAGTTCGTTTATTTGAAGACAACATTCCTGTGCAAGGTTAAATATCAGTTTCTATAGATAATCACTGATATACACAAGATCTTCTATAAATTTGAAGCGACAATAGATAATTCAAAGCTTTCGTGAACTTTGAACCTTAAAAGAGACATAAAACTTTGTAACTTTTATCGCCGATCCTTCAGAGAGAAGTTCTTCTTATGAAAGATTATCTTCAGCATATCCTCCCTTATAACAGCCATACATATAGGCTAGCTAGCCATCTCATAGCCTGCTATTCGGTTCTACTGTTACCGAGTAATTCCCCCTCAACTACGTCACCTTGCAACTTTACTGTCCATATTCCCTGGACTATCATCTCAACCACTGTATAACTTAAAGATTCCAACAATATACACACGCACCCTAAAAGCTCCGCATCTTTACTCAATTCAAACATTTGAAGTACTAGCTCATTATTCTTAGGCACAACTTGAGAAGTTCTCGACAACAATTTAGAGGAGCATACATTGCAAAATTGCCGTTTCTTTATCGAATATTCTCGCGCGCCTTAGGATCTTATGGAATAAAATTCTCATATATGGAAGGTTCGAGGCACTCGCTTTGAAGTTTCAAATGCACTTCGTTGTTTTTTCGATTTGATTTTTCTTTCTTCTTTATCGATATAGTTCCCGAAGTCTCTTTAAAAAGTTCGGATCCAACTATGGCGTAAAAGTAAAGAAATGAAGTAGAAGCTCTGGATGAGAGAATCAGTGTTGATTAAGTAGAATTCAATTTTAGTTTTACTTGAAAAAAGAACTTTTCAACGATTCAAGAAAAGTCCAACTGTAATGATTCATATACTTTGGAGAATTTGTAGTAACATTTCCTGGTGCTTAAGTTTATTTGCTCTTCTTTGAGATAACGAAGACCGTCATGGAAGTCTCACATCTCAAGGATCTGCTTTAAAATTACTATTGTAAAATCTATTGACAATACTGGTTAAATACTGGAAATGTTGATAGCACCATAGAATATCACCTAGACGATAGTATACAATGGCAATAATTCATAAGGACGCATGTCCATTTCTTCAACTGTCTTTTCTGGAGCAGTATTCTAAACATTTTGTTGTGCATTTTATGGTGCACTCCTTCTTCAATCGTAACTTGTTAACAAATATTAGTACAGTTCTGAAATCATATCTGAATATACCACTTTTATGCCATAATGAACCGGGTGATCACTTATTCTCTTAAAAAAATCTTTGATTTCCTTGATACCTGATTTTGCAGCAAATTGAGCTTTCAAGAAAAGCAAAGAGAAAGTGATAAGAAAATAAGTAGTCACCCACTTTATTCTCTCGACTGAATAAAAAATGCATAAAAATGCACAAAAAATGCATTTTTTTACAAAGAAACTGATAACATTCTTTTTCAGTCATCTCATTACACATTATGAAACAATCAGACCAAAAGTATTAAGCAGACAGGCTGTTGAAAGAGGAACATGTGACCTGAAGAGTATATCTTAGACCTGTATCTTGCCTATAGCTCCATGTTACCTCTTAGGAGAGCAGACACACAAGATTACATCAAGACAATCAGGGTTATATCGAAGCTTCGGTTTTTGCACATTCGGCCTACGGACTAAAAATGCCGAAGGTTTGGCCGAGAACCTCAAAAAATCAGAATCCACGAGTTTTGCGGAAATCATGTAATGTCGTAGTCATCGAGTTCAGGAAAAATTAAAAAGTGTTAAGAGGTATTTACTAGTGTCCAACAGGTTTCAGTAGGCCTGTAATAAAAACTACACAACTTTAGTATGAAGCCTCTTTTATGAGAAGCTTAATTTGCAAAACAACATAAACCGTTTTCAACATGATTGACCTTCAATTTTAGAGAAAACTGTCTCATCTTAGTGTATTTAAACTAACGCATTTTTATCTTATTTATCCACATAGTCGGCCCAATTCGCTTGAAGCGTATAATGTGGTGGTCAAGACGACCATCCAGAATACAAAGTCGTAGGTTCTAAAATCACCAGTGTGACGAATTTTTCGTTTTATCTTTCCTAAATTGGAACTTGGCCTACATGCACCAAAGTCTCTAAACCAATGTGGTTACTCGGTCCACCTCTGTCCGGATTTGCAGCACCCATCCCTAGGTGCTTAAGTTCGTTTGCTTTTCGCACCGTACACGATAAACTTTCCACCTCGTAATTTGCAATTAACGAAGCTTACAGGAGTATCGAGATAAACCTTCTGCCGCTACTCGCAAAACCAACATCCATGTCCAGAAACTTAGAACTTTATCTTACTTATTTACTACCCTGCTAAGCTCAGAGGCGGATTCTGTTGAGAGTTCCAAACTCAAACTATCGGTGTTGTGGATACGGGACCATCATTTAACCACTCGTTGTGTTAACTGAAAGGCAAACTGTTTCTGAAGTATTAAGTGGTACTTGTATTTGTAATTTGTTTTCACTTATAAATTTTATGTGTCCAAGAAAATCAAATGCTCTGTTGCCTTCAATACATGATTGTCTAAGTAAAGTGAAGTACAGCACTGACATTTTTTTTTGAATATCTTAGAAATGACAGTTGCGCTACCTAGAAGTTTCTTGTTTGGAGAACCAGTATGTTGGGGCGCGAGACTGAATGATGACGTCACATGGCACCACCGCTTCGCGCCATTTACAAAGATGGTCTGCACCGTATTACCGATTTACGGTAAAAACGGGTAGAAAAATGGTAAAATACTGCATTGTACATAGGCGTACAAATACAGGCATATCAGCTCCAAAAAAAGATGATTACGTAGAATACAAGTGGAAAGAAGTGGTGCAGGGTAATAAACAAGGACGGGGTCGATAATTTTCTTTTCTTTTTTCCTCCTTCATTGTACTGCTGAGAATATCGTTTTGATGTTAGTAGGTACTTTAGTTAATATGGTAAGAAGGATCGTAATAAATATAAGCGTATCTGCCTATGATGACGGATAAATAACCAATTATGCTGTAAACGAGAACAAATGATAAGTCTGATTCTTGCTTTTATTTTGAGATAATACGAATATTGTTATAATGTTCATGTGGCTGGAAGGGGAATACTTTCAGTGTCAACGCGCAAAAAAATGTATAATTGAATAGTGTCATTTTAGAATAATCAGCTGTATTGGAATGTGGCAAATTGGATTGCAGAGTCGAAGATATCTATATGTAATTATTATGATATGGCATGTTGTTTGCTGTCACCACAGAAAATGTCATAAACTTCGTTAAACTAAAATGAATTATCGAAATAATTATTTCATATTTGCCATTAGGTGGCATTTGCTCCTCACTCCTCTGGCTTCCTCTTGAGAAGTAAAGTATACAAGTAAGCAACGAGTGGCATGTGTTTTTTTTTCTTTTCACCTATCTGAATTGTGGAGATATGCCGCCCCTCTCCCCCAGATGCTCAGGTCAATAAAGGTCTGACTGCAGAACTGAAAAGACTGGAGAATTAATTGTGCTATCAAGACGAATCTAAGGACACCTCAAATGTCAAAATCCATTGAGCTGTTTGGGCTGTGAAATAGAAATCTCAAAATTGAAGTTTGTGTTTAAAATCCGCCATTATAATTTTAACATTTTACTAGGACCCCTTAGATGTCAAAATCTATCAAGCCATTTAAACTAGAGCCCGTGAAAGAACAAGTTGAAATTTTCTATTAGAATCCGCCATTTGGATATTATAAAACCTTAGTATATCTACTCAGTGTTACTGACGCTATCAAGACAAATCTAGAGACACCTCATATGTCGAACGCCCTGTAAGAAGGGTTTTGACAACATTGTCACATTTGCGAGCTATAAGTTTTCAGAGATTTGTTGGCGAGAAAAAGTTTTTAAAAGATGGAAGTTGACCCAGGAGGATCAACAGACGACGCAGTTCCACATACTATGAGGAAAGAGCTGAGCGGTGGCGGAAACCGAGCAGAATCAGAAAACATGAGCACACTGACGCAGATGTCATCGGAGCAGAAAACGAACGAAAAACTGTTGCTGATAATAGACGACCAGGCGAGGCAGATTCGAGACCTAATGGAGACCATCAAGGACCAGACAGCCAAAATTGACAGTCTGACCGCCCAAGTAACCATATTACTAAATTCAAAAGAATCCCCTAAAGAACAGACAAAGACCCTAAAAAGACCACTGAGAAACGTTACTGATGATCATCTCACATCCACAGACGAAGACGTACAGATCGACGGATTTGTGAAAGCAAAATCAAGAAGGAGGAAAGGCAACAAGGCTGATCGATTAACCCAAGACTTTCCTCCTCTTCCGAATACAGGATCAATTCCATTTCACACCTCCCCTAATTCATCAAATCGAACCACTATTAACGCTTCTACTACCAAGCCAGGGACCACGTTATCTACCTGTCAGGTGACTCCGTCAGCCGATGTTACTTCTCCTCCGTCATCTCGTCCAACCGTCGTGGAATCCACACAACCCTCACGACAAGGGCGCATAACCCCGATCGTCTTACCCGACGGGACGAGATGGCGTACTTTAAATTTCAAGTTTATTTCCCTAGGTATTAAAATAGATCGCGCGGTTGCCGTT